GGGGGTTGTCCGGTCAATGGCACTGTACGGTGCACCGGTGTGGGCGGCGGCTCTGACCGCCCAGAATAGGGTACGCCTCTGGCGCCCTCAGAGGGTAATGGCGGTCAGAGCCATACGCGGTTACCGCACCGTTTCTACGGAGGTGGCATGCGCGTTGGCCGGAACTCCCCCGTGGGATTTGGAGGCGGAAGTGCTCGCCGAAGTTTATCGGCGAGTGGCTGACTTCCGGGCGGAGAGCGGATTTCGCCCTCCGCCCGAGGATGTGCGCGAGTGGCGCGAAGCCGCTCGCCGAGCCACGATGGCTCGTTGGTCGCTCCGGCTGGAGACTCCACGCGCTGGCTTCGCCGCCGTGGAGGCTCTCCAGCCGGTCATCGCCGAGTGGGCAGGGCGGCAGCACGGGACCCTTTCCTTCCGGCTGACGCAGGTGCTTTCCGGGCATGGTTGCTTCGGAAAGTACCTGCACACGGTCGCTAGGAGGGAACTGAGTCCCGCCTGCCACCACTGCGACTGCAGTGAGGACTCGGCCCAGCACACGCTGGCGGTCTGCCCCGCATGGGCGGCGCAGCGCCGGGCCCTCACTGCAGTCATCGGAGTGGATCTCTCGCTACCGGCCGTAGTACGCTCCATGGTCGGTAGCGACAGTTGTTTTACCGCGGTCGCAACCTTCTGCGAGGTAGTAATCTCGCGGAAGGAGGCGGCGGAGAGGGCCCGGGAGGATGACCTCCACTCGGACCCGATCCGCCGCCGGCGAACCGGGCGGCGGAGGCCCGGCTATCACAGCCTCATGCCGCCCTGAGTGTGGCCGCGGGTGGACGGGGTGGGTTTCCCCTCCACCCGCATTAGTTGGCCAGCCGCGAGGGGGCGGCGTCCGCGTGTGCCGGACGTCGCCTAAAGAGAGGAACATCCACATTGAGACGGAGCCCGCACCAGGAGCGGGCTGGCGCTAGGAGGGGTCCGGATGTCTTAACAGCAGCTGTTCCCGGATCCCTCCTGTTACAGGCGCAGAGTGGCACACCGTGTGGTTTTAGTCGGTCCGAGTCCGACACACCACCCCGCCGCAAACCCCGGAGGGGTGACGGTCCGAGGGGATTTCCACACGTAAAAAAAAAAAAAAAAAAAAAGGGTTTTATAAGAAAAAGATTCAAACTCCAATATCTGGTAATCCAAATTATCAATACTACACTACAATACCTCGGGTTTATTAAAACGGGATTGTAATTCGCTCACCTCAGTAGAGCTCAAGGCTCGATGTTCAAAAACACGGTGACCCTTCCCTTTAAACTCGTTCCTTTCCTAATAAGCACCTTATCCTCTGGCATTGTGTCAGCTGGAGCCTATCAACCTGGAATGTATATAAAGAAATGTTATAGTAACGTCTAAAATACTACTACAAATGATGCAGCCTGTAAAACATATACGAGTTCTAAAATACCTACTGAATTGAGGGTAGAACATTAACGTTAAATAGTTAAAATTTACAAAAAAAATATACGTATAAATTGTTATTTAATACAAAACTTTTTTATACAATTTAACTTTTTAAACAATTGTCTACCTGTGCTCACTTAAGTTATGTGATTACGTAACTGAATCAGTAGATAATTTAAAGTTACATTTCAAGATTAAAAATAATGCAGCTTAAGTTAATAATACCTGGTAAAAGTAGTATTGGGTGGACTAATTTATTATTATATACGACTTTTCTTAGCTGTTATGTGTCTAAACCAAGGCAACCTCCATTTTTTTCTGACCGACACAGCAGAATTGACCAGCATCGCCCGGCCGTTGAATATGATCTTTGGAATCCACCAATTCTCTTGCAATCCTTGTAATACCAACGCTGATCGGAGTAAATTTGCTTCTAAAGTCCTGTATGTGGACTCGGCAGGACCATATTTCGGCATGATCCAGGTGTTTAGGGGCTTTGTGAAAATACGACGTGCTCGAGACAACGTAAAAGTTTAGTTTTTAAATTACAAAATGTAGGTAGGCCGATGATTTTGATTGGTAGGTATAAGTTTGCAACAAGGCCTTTTTGCGGACACAATATAATAGTTACTTGATAAATTTTAATTATCTATATGGTTTAAGTGGTCGCCACGCCGCTTCCTACCATGCTGAGTGTTGTGGGCCGATCCCTAAGACGCTTTGTGTGTTCCACAAATTGTTGTTCTCAGTCTGACAGAAATACACCCGATAGAAAGCGATTACCGCCGCCCATGAACGCCTGCAACTAAGGACTCACAAGCGCGTTGCCAGCCTTTAAGGAAGGAGTACGCTCTTTTCTTGAAGGTCATATCGGTCCGGAAATTCCGCAGCCGATAACTTGTTCCACAGGTTGATAGTGCGAGGCAAAAAGTGTATTGAAAAGCGCACAGTGGTCCAAGTGGTAAGTATCTAAGTGGTAGGGATGAAGATTTCGCAGTGTGGAAAGATGGCGGAAGGTTGCGGCCGGTATTAGTCCGAACAATTCCTCGGAGCACTCTCCATGATATATACGATAGAGAATGCAGAGCGAAGCTACATCTCTACGTAACGCCAAGGGATCGAGCCGGTCGCAAATCTTTTGGCTATCGACGATTCGAGTCGCTCTTCTTCTTTTTGCTTTGTTTCAAAGATTTAAGATTCAATTTAGTCATTAACAATTGTATATCTTGCGACAATATAAAAATAGCTATATAACTCCATGGTTTTACTGAAAGGTTATTGAAATTGTGTGAGATACACCTAGACAAAGTTGTTTCGTCTTTAAAGTATGAAACGTCAAACAGTACCTAGACTATAGTTGACTATAGTTCAGTCAGCCTGTGACCACGGCCGGTGCAACCTGGTCGAAACGTCAGGCAAACCAAACCAAAACCTAAATAAGAGATCGCGTTAATTCCCGTTAAAATAATATTAATTATAGTTGACAAGATTTTTTTTAAACGCAAGAGATGGGCAAAGATGTTCTTTAGAATGAGACATGTCAAAATGTTTTTTAAGGTACCTATTTAACCGATTTTAAACCAGGAGTACCTAAGTAGGTATGACGTAATTCGATTCTACCGCCATGAGAAAAAAAAATAGGATTCTGTAATAACTACCTACGTACGTATGGTTTCGCTGTTCATCCGTCCTAAGGGCCGGACCTATCCGTACCTAAGTATGACGTTACACCGAATGCAGAATTGATTTTTAAATTTTTGCACAGTATGGCGTGTCGCATCTCCTTTCTATGAAGAGGCCAATGTCCAGCAATGAACTACTAGAGGCTGTTGATGTTGATTGATGATGATGGAGTGCCGTTAGATGGGTATTTGAAAACATTGTGAGTTATGAAGGATAAATTATTTTTTGGTGGAGTGATTCATTTAAAAAAAAAACTCGGGTGTCAAAATTTTCGCCCGCTCGTCAATATTATAATTTTTGTATTCTACCCTTAACTTAATATTATTAAGTTAATGTGATTATTGTTCATTGCTTTATCTTATTTATTGTTATGTACTAAATTGATTTTGCATGTTGTAGCATACCGTATGAACCCCAATGGTTTAAGGTTGGCCTACATTTATTGAATTGTCTAGGTATATAAATAAACTAAACAAAAAAACATTTGAATTATATTATACTACCTTCTAAGGTAAACTACTTTTTAAGAAAATACATATGTGTAGGTATTGATAGCTAAAATAAATATGAAAAAATAGACTCATTGACGGTCCATTACCTATGTATCCAGATAAGGATTGCTAGATGAACCAGCAGAGCTTCCAAAAGCCATTATGGTAGTATAAGAAATAACAACTGTTTATAAAATATAACTTCAAAAATTAAAAGTAAAAAAACTAAACAAACACGTTATGGTTACTCACCGAACTTAAAAGTAGAAAATAATTTTCTGTAGGTAAGTTAAAAAAATATAGAATCATTGACAAAAAAAACATTATACTCGTACATTTAAAAAGCGAAGGATCCATACACACTATTGCATACATACATACCTACAATGAGATATTTTTTAAAATTTAAATCCAAGTGAAGCAACTAAAAAAAAAATACGGACAAATTATTTCATGAGAAATTTAAAGGGATGACTCCCGTCAAGAAATAAATACTTAAATTTTCGCTTTCCATGCTTTTGCAAAAATAACTACACTATTGTGTATCTTCTTCATCATCAACCTATCGCAGTCAACTGCTGGACATAAGCCATCTTCTCAGTATAATATTATTTTTCTACATCTGACCCTCAACCCCATCTCGTTTCTTATTAAGCAGAGCTTGTACTATGAAAGCTGGGTGACTGATAGAATATTTCTATACATTTTATGCATAAGAACACCCAAACTCCGAAACAAAATATTTTCAGGTCATACAAACATTTGGTCCGACGCGGGAATCAAACCAGATTAGAATCTTATAAAGAGGTAAATAATTAAAAATCAGCATAAGTGGTGTTAAAACTAGTAAATTATCATTTGTCTCAAATGATATAATCGCCTTTGCCCGACATCTAGCGATAAATAATTATGTTATGCAGTTTTCTTTTTCACTGAGACTAGATGTCAGTGATTTACATTTTTATAATGATTAACCTTGGCTCACCATTAAATTATTTTTATGTTTATAATTTTTTAAAGCAATGTTAGGCTTTAGTAATGCAATTTTCAATGGAGATTATCTATTATTATTAATAATAAATATCAAATGAAATACCCAAGATCTAATTGTCACTTCAAAAAACAAAACTTTTAACATCTGTGGTCGGCCATTTTGGATTTTGATAATCTGGTACTGTCGAAACAATTTCGATGTTTTTCAATCTACCTGTAATTTTAATAATATATTAACGTTCTCATTACGCGTCTAAATCGCCGCCCCTCGGTCATCATCATCGCCTCGTGGGCCACACACCGCCGGACTAATTGAATAGTGGATCAACGATCAGCTGTCACGTATTACTGACGTGTAGAATACAAACAAATCTGATATTTTGAGTCTGCTATGCTGTTTTCGCGATGAACGGCATATTTAATGAGCAGCTCGAAGGAGTAGCTGGGGTGTTTGAGCAGTGGGGCGCCTGCGAACAGACAGTGGTCGCATGTACGTTAGCTAGGCGGGTGCCGTGGCCGGGCTTGAAGCTGGTGCAGCGGGCCGTAGAGGCTGCCTTGCGCAGCCACGTCGAGGACGAGCGTTTGGAGCGCGATGCCAATGACGAGATGCTACTGACCAGTCTGCTCACCGTGCGTGATGACGAGGATGAGGACGGTAAGTCGAGGCAACTACCCTTTCTTTATGTTTCATTATTCGACTAAAATTTAGATAATTTGTCTACGTACACGTCTTACAATTTTTTAATTGAAAAAGTTTTTAATGGATTGACACCGTGAAAAGTATTTAAGTTTTCTGAGACACTTGAAATGTATTCTTGAAAACGTAATTTAGTGTGATTAGAAATTGTCCGTTTATTTTTTAGAAATAAATTTAGTAAGGTAATTAGATAAAATATACAACAAATGATTAACAACAATTTCTTTGTTATCAACTGTAATTGCATAATAGTAGTTGATTAATGATTGGCGGCAATATGTGACTCATGTGTTAATAAAGATTTCAATGTTAAAAATGAAAATGAATATTACCTATATTCATTTTCATAGCATTTGGTCGACCTTCAGATGTATTATTAGCTATTCTTCGTAGGCTTGCGAAGGCTTTATGACTTATTTATTACTTAGATCATTTGAAAGGACTTCCTCTCAAATATTTCTGTACAGCATATGTTTAATTCCACTATTTATTAAGAAAACGAATCACTGCATCCAGTATCATAGTTGATTACTAAGTAGTTGCATTAGTTACTGCTTAATATTTTGTACTTGTAAGTCTATGAACTGATGTTTATCACAAGAATCTAGCTTTTCCGTGCTACATTGCTAGCACAAAAGTATTTTTTTTATCCTCCTATGATAGTAATAATAAATTAAATAAAATGTTTTATTATCAGACATCCAGGCTCATAGTGTTAGTCTTACAAATAACTATGTTAGTAAATAATATTAAAAATCTAAATGTGGAAGTGTACCTGTATACATGGGGAGTTCCACTAAGCTACATACAAGCTACATGTAACACAAGCAGCCTAGTAAATCTGCCCCTGACAGGCCCATACACCCTCTCTGCAAATACCCTCAATGTGCTGTTGAAACTCATCCCAACCTGGATGCTACCTTCTTACGCAAAATCGCATAGTAGTCATCAATGTGTGCATCAGTGAACATGCCTGATGCACTGAAATACGAGTGAAGCCTCAACAAGGTCCTGAAGGCATTGTTGTAATGTACACACAGAGCATTGTCAGATTTTTAGGTATGATTAACTCAAAGACTATTGGTGTAAAATGTTGGGCAATATGCCTTGAACAATGTTATTTTAACAGGTACAGAGCACCAGCAAACCTTTGAACTACCATGTTTCTGCTCACAGCCAATGCCCTGCGTTCCCTATCAGTATTTAAGTCATCATATTACTCTCTTTAGGGGTAAGCCATTAAGTGTAACCGGAGGGTCATCAGTAGGATTCTTATTAATACCTCTGAATATCAGTAGTTCACTTTTCTTACTATTATATTTTATCCCATGTTGTTTTGCATAATTTTCACATATTAACAGCAACTTTCTTATTCCACATATTGATGGACTTAAAATTACCTGATTGTATGCAAAATTTATGTTATTTAGATATTGTTCATCTATATGGCATCCAAATGTGTGCTGTTGAGCTCATACTTCTAGCTCAGTAGTGAAAGTAGGAAGTGTAATTGGGCCCATAGGTTGGCCTATGGGCACATACAACATAACTATTTGCCTGCTACTACTATGTAACAGCCATTTCATTTATAAATGCAACCTTTGTATTGTTATGGGGAAATCTCACAGGGGTAATGGCAAGGCATGTGTATGTCACAGACTCATACTTGCAATGGTCTAAAATTTATTCAAGAAACGGAATTCCTGTGGACCCTTAACCACTTTGCTACCTGTTCAACAATAGGTGACTGTAATATTAAGCTCCATCCACTTTTCACCCCCTTCTAGGATGATTTCTGGGATACAAATTTACCCATGACTCAACCTATCTATACAAAATTTCAGCAGTTTAACGTGAACAGATAGACACACTTTCGCATTTATGATATTACTAAGGATTTAAAACTAGGCACTTCAAACAAGTTATTTTCTAAATACATAAGCACTGCATCCTGCTTAAATAACAGCTTGACAACAGACTTGACTCGGCTTCTGTAATTCTTCACTCTTCTCACCTTTAAGTAAAGAATACTTAAAGATATAACCACCATAACAAAGTTCTGTGACAAATAAACATCTTAGAAGTTATAAGAAAAGATTCCAACGTGTTTATTCTGAAAATAGTTGAAAATAATTAGTAGTACTTAAACATTGTAAAATGTAAATAGAGGAGAATTTACACATAAAACTCTGAGCATAACTTATGCTTCTTGATAGGTTGCATATTTGTTAACTAGCAATGCAGGCAGTGTTTATTCTAAATAAGATCTACCCCACTACATGTTGTTTTAACATTCAATTTATATTATTTAAATTATTTTATTTAATATTTAAATTATTTTTGTAACAAAGTTCGTTATCGCGCGTTACACACTGAGCGGATGAGAGCGAGACCGAAAAATGTCTAACAAGACTTTTTTTCGACACTTCACATCTTTTTTATAATAATAATAGCAAACATCTGCTAAAAAGCGAAAGGAACTTTGTTCTAACCGGGGGTCCATAAACCCCTAACGCTGTTTTTATAGTTCCTTTATTGTTACATAGCTTTATTTTGGTTTATAATCTTAATAACAGAATGCACAAACACCATAACGTAGAATTAAACAGTGTTGTACAATTCACCAGTTATTGTTCTGTTAATTTAAAAAAGTGACCATGAATTTGTTTGCCCAATTTCTTCTCACAAGGATCAACTATTTGTTTTTTTTTTAAATAATTAAATATTTGCAAAACCAAACTATTGTTGATGTTCCTCTATTGTGTTCATGTATAATTTTATTAATTTTACATTTTTTAATAGAATATACAATATTACGTAAATGGAAATAAAGAAAGAAAAGACTACGCTGTGTGACTTGTGAAAACTTACAGGGATATAATAATGTTTAATCTTCTTTTATTGCCAGGTGGGGAACGCATGCGACGCCTTCTGACCCTACTGCCACTGCTAAGAATGGACAATGACCGTGGCAAAGACCTTTACGTGACAGCTGCTCCTGCGCTAGTACAGCGCTGTGTGGACGCGCCTCGGCGGTCTTCGTGCTCGCCTGACCTATGCCGGCAGTTACTGTCGTATCTGCTGGTGCACCCAGCCCTGACGCACCATGACCGAAGGTAATCCACCCCCCTTTACTACTACTTGTAAAAATCGTCCGACTTGTAAAAATATCTGAAAAGATTTACTTGCAGAAATAAATATCATTTATAACTCTTTTTGTGCTCCAACTTGAGCCCCGGCCGAGCTACCACAGCCTCACAGAAAACCGGTGTAAAACTATTCTTCTCTGAGGCACTCAAAGGTGTAGCCGACCGCGGCCTCTTTGACTTACTGTACTCTCAGTCTTGTTTCCTGTTGCGGTATCCCTTACCCCAGTTATCTTACCCTCTACTTTCATTACCCCATTGAGGCTTCTGCCTTTGTTCCATCTGATAATGATTTCATCCCCAAGGAAGGTCGGCGTCAGGTAAGTTGCTGGCCAGTGAAGGAAGCTGATGGTCTTATATTAATCTGTCCACGAACATGTCCAGTAATAAATCGTGTAAATTGTTACAATTCAATTTTAAATTTCAGAACACTGACACAATGGTTAAAGTACCTAGAGAACCATATATCAGGTAGCAGGAACACTGAGAGTGTCTGGCAACAAAGAATAGACTCGTGCCTCATGCCAGACAACAACATATGGAGCACAAACACAAGTACAAATACATTCAGACGAACCATCGGCAAGAACATCGACTTTAGGGGTATTTTGGACACAATTGATTACATCAACAGCACAGATTTACTGCAGGAGTCTTTTTCCAAGAACGGTCGTGACGTAGACATCAGTATAGAAGGAGACAAGCTGAGTTTTGAGCCGGCGATAACCCAGCCTAAGTCACAGAGATCGAACAGTTTGACGCCTCCATCGACCAACTTCATGCACATGTCTTCATCTGCAGAAAATCTAAGTGATGAACCATTTGTGCAGAAGCCTAGAAGTTTCTCTCTCTCCAGTGAACACAGTTTGAGTCAGATCAGGCCTATTAGTATAATGTACGGCACGACAGGGAGCGAGACACGGTTAGATGACTTGAGGTCGCATAATTTTGTCGAGCATCCGGGCATGTCGACTGTGGCGCAGTGGTTGAAGAGTTTGAGGTTACATAAGTATGTGTGGCTGTTCACCAATATGACTTATGAACAGATGATGAACATGGATGAAAAGTATCTTGAGAAATTAGGTAAGTTATATTTTATTCAGGGCAACTTACTTTTCAACTTGGCTATAAAACCGGAGGTTCTCAGGTCAATTGAAGTGTTTTTTTTTTTGGTTGAGAGGTTAAATACATACCTACTTTATTTAAAAAATATTCTAATCGAGAATAGAAAATTGGGGATGACCAATACAGCTTATTACAATTATTCACAACTCGGTAATTCTTTTTTTAAAACTGAAATAACCCGCTAAGATTCTCGTCTGGGACTATATTTACTGTTTCCACTAGGAGACTATTTCAGTGTAATGTGGGTAATATACCCAGTTTTAATGTCGATTTCCATTAAGGAAAACTTATTTTCTTCCCTTGTATTAACTATCCACATTAACTGGCCAGTGTTATCATGCATTGGAATCATGATCATAATTAAGTTTTTCTAAAATTGAGATGCAGGATTGGAAAACCTTGTTAAGAAATGTTCAACGGTACCATGTTTCTAGAATTAGTCTATTCAGACCTGTGCAACAAATAAAATGGTGTCAGTGCTTCGTTCGTCTTGTTGGTGACTCATTATTTAATGTAAAGGAAACGATCTTGAATTACTCGTCTCGTGGTCCAACTAACCTCGATTTCCTGTCCCTACTATGAACGTATTACAAATATATTTCAATGTATTTGGGTTTTTAAGTAGCTATCTTGGTTAGTGAATCATTCTTTTGTAGTAAATTGTGGTTTATATGTTAAAAACAAGCAACACAAAATAAAAAATGTATGCTTGCTTTACAAATATTTTTTTTCTCTCGGTTAAATTTCGGGCAAGTACTCGTTCAAATTTAAGCATGAGAACCATACTTCGCTCGGTGCAAATTTTCAATTTTTTTTTTTTGCTAACAGTTGATTATATCGGTTACACGGAATTCCAGGTGTGACAAAAGGTGCCCGGCACAAGCTACTGTTGTCTATCAAGAAGCTGAACGAGCGCGGCGCGATTCTAGAGGGGGTGGAAGCGGAACTACGAGCGGGGGGCGCCGCGGGAGCAGCGCGTGCCCTCGAGCGTCTTCGGGGCGTGCTGCTCAGCCCTATGGCGCCGACGAGCACGTTGCCCGCGGGCGTCGTGCGAGCCTTGAGAGTGGCGTCCGAGTGTCTGGGGGCCGCCGCGCCGGCCCCCGCCCCGCCGCCCGACGAGGAGCGCGAGGCGCCGGTGGAGCCGCTGTCGCTGCACTGCTGGCTGGTAGAGCGCGCGCTGCACCACGAGGCCTTCGCGCGCGCCGACCTGCGCGAGGCGCTGCGCTCGCTGCGCCACCGCCTGCCGCCAAGACAGTTCTTCCATCACGTCAGCGACATGCCCGTCAACAGGCGGTGTCCGAAACCCAGGTGAGCGTTGAGCGTCGACCGTTTATTTTCTGCCATAGCGACCGATATTAGTTTTGTACCTAGTTTAAAGTACGTTACTGATGAAAGTTTACTTCGTTCAGATGGCGCATAAACCCGCACAACGGTTACCAGAAGCAAATGCAGAAGCGTCTGTGGGGCAACGGGGCTTGTAAGGGTCCGCTCGTGCCGCGCGGCAAGAGCCACTCGTACCCGCCGCACGGGGCCCCCCCTCGCCCCCCGGCGCTGGGCCCCGCGCCCCCCTCGTCGCTCGGGCCCCGCGCGCCGCACTCGGCCTCCGACGACTACTCGTCGTTGGACGCTCTGTGCCTTCAGATGACGGAGCAGGCCATCAACTGACTGCCGACCCCCCGTCACTTTGACGGCCCCGCGTCAAATCGACGGACGTTTCCTCCCCGACCCCCAGTCGCTACGATGTCTCGCCGTCATTCCGACGGTCTCCCGCCTACCCTCTGGACTCTGAGGGACCTCCCTCTCTCGTCGGTGCTCCACGACGAGGGACGGGAGGTGTGAGTGTTCGATAGTCGCGCAGTAGCTAGAGAAATTCCGGTCGCGTCGATGGCCGTCGACCGTCGACGCCGTAAACGAATTATTACTAGATAGGGCCAAGGTATAGCTTTTATATCGAACGATCCGCTTTTGTCACACAGTGCTGTTTACCCCCCGCTGGACACTGACGAAATATGATATGAATAGTTGTAGTGTAATCGGTGACATCGACTCGGTATCGTATACATTTAATTGTATCCTAAATTTCTCTGGTGCTAATTTGTGCAAGTTTTATTTCTAATTAGCCATATAGTGTAGCTAGGTTTAGTTAGGTATCGTTATTGTGGCGTACTTGTGTCGATATATAACTGTTGTGCGAGGGGCGACCGCTGACCGCTGACCCCGACTGTACTTGTTGACTATACAATATTATATACTATGAGAAATGGACGCGTCCCCGTTAACTTACGGTAACGTTGAATTAGTTATACAATGTTGTTGACTGATGTTTGCATAATTTATAATATACGCAAGCTGTTTATTTTATTTTTTAATTATTATTTTAGTATAATGGAATATTTTATATTCAGTAATTGTTTTGACTGGATCAAAAATCTGATTGTAATACGTGCAATTTATTAATATTTGCAATATTTTATCTTTATTATGAACTCATAGAATTCATGTAAATAAATGGACTAGTACGCATTGTATTTATAAGGGTTATTGTTTTGTACAAATGTGTCATTGACAGAAATAATATATTATGAAATGAATTTGAATATTAAAGTTGAGATGAATATTGGTTTATGAGTGTTGGGTGGGTGCGAGTGGTACTGCACCCCACTCGCTCCCCTGTTTATTAGGCAATTAATTGTATAGATATATATTTATTGTTTCCCTCTTACCTCAAATATTGTTCTATTAACATTCTCACTTCTGTGTTCACAAGCTTTAGTTACTAATCTGTAGCGGACTGTGATACGGTTTGTTTTTGAATCATGAATCATGATATTCATCAGCACTAAAAAATAAATATTATATAACATTATATTGCATTTTATTTTTATGTGAACTACCTCGCTAGCACGCCTATGTATAGTTCATTCGCGTAAGAGAATAGTGACGTAGCTATCAAGCCCCGTCCCGTGACCAATCAGGTTCCAAGAAATTATCGTTACGCACGAAAGTTTGGAACGAGATTGGTCAGGGGGCGGGGCTTGATCGATGGGTCACTATTTACTTAACACGAATGGATTATAGGTAAGCTGACCAGAGTTATCTAAACAGAAGTAATTTGCATTTTGAACTGCATAAAATGCAGTATGTTGCAGAATAGTTACACAATAGCTACACATTTAGATTGCTAATCTATCTGTTGCCATTACTAAATATCATCATCATTATCAACAGCCTTTAACAGTTCACTGCTGGACATAGGCCTCTCCTTAGAAAGGAGGTTTTGGCCTATAGTAGGCCACGCTGGCAAAACGGTAAAGTCTTCCTTCTCTCTGCAGTGCTGTTGTCCTGCGTAGTTTACTCCCTTAGTCAGCTCTTACGACACCCATGGGATGAATGGGGTTGGTGATAATCCGTATTCTTAATCCGTCACCACATGGACAAATACTTTACTAAAAATATGGTTAATATAATCAAACCCTTTGCAAATAGAACAAGTCATATGTGCAGGCCTTTTTTAATGCAACTTCAATCACAAAACCTTCACAATTTTGAAAAGTAATTGACTTAATACCGCATTTTGATCAAGCCTTGGGCGGGGAGGGGGGCAAGTCTATTGCCATCTGGGATGGGGATACGTGGAACTGTATTAAAAAAAAAAAGATTGATGAAGATGTTATTTGGAATTAATGAAATATCTTGATCAGCTCAGGTACCTGTTGTTCGATTAAGCTATTTTATTTTGTTTGGATTACCAACAAGGAATACACCTTACATTCTATATTTCGTTTACAATGGTCAAATTTGTGTACTTCCTTAATAACAGGCGACCACATACGCAAAAAATTATACAAACTTTAATATCTTTATTTGTAAGCTAACAAGATTAATATTCATTTTTACTTTCTTTTTTTAAATGCTTAAAATAATAAATAGAAAAATGATTCCAACACAAAAGTCAGCTATTGGCTAAAAGTCGGACGTTTGTAAGCATTATGCCCAACTCGCAAAATGTCCTAACCAATTGTAATTAAGGGCCGTCCTTGATTACGAGAGACGTTTTTGATGACCTCGACGATTCGGCTCGAAGAAAAAGGGCGTATAGCTAGAGGAACAATCCCCCGATTACGACCCCTTAAGTACGAATACTGGATCAATTGCGAACACTGCACCCGCTGGACATTTTGCGAATGAACCAAGTCTGAGCCCTTAATGTTCGAACTGATAAAATCTAAAAGAGACCTGTAGCTCGATTTGGCTATTACCTGAAAGTCTGAGCATTCTAACTGATAAAGAAAAGAAAACTACAAAAATATTCTCTAGGACTAGATATTTAATGACAAGTACAAAATTTGGTCTGGTTACAAATCATTACAGAACTAACACGCAACAATAAATAAAGATTATGCAAGTCTCTCCTTATGAGTGCCAATTTTATGTCTAGCAAGATCATTCTTCCTATAAAATGCTCTTGTACAACGGTCACATGGAAACGGGATATGTGTACCGTGCAGTTTAGCTATGTGGAAGTCAAGCATGGGTCGGGAAGGAAATACCATTGAGCAGCCTTCAACTTTACATTTGTACTTATCTGTCTTTGTGTGTTTAAAATTGATATGGCGAGCGAGTGCCTTTAGTTCAAAGAAGCTACTCGTACATAGCTCACATTTTAACGGTCGCTCACCAGTATGTCTCCACATATGAGCTTCGAGGTTAGCCGCATGCCTTGAACACAATTCACAGTATCCTGATTTCTCCGAGTGTTGCTTATTTATATGTAACTTCAAGTTACCTTTAAACTTGAAATTGCGTCCACAGTAGTTACAAATAAAGCTGTGGGATTCCGAGTGCAGTCTTTTGTGTTTCGTTAAATTAGATTGATACTTGAATGATGTATTGCAAAACAAGCAAATGAATTTTTTCTCAGTCGAGTGCACCGCATAATGCATCTTAAGTTCTTGTTTAGTACAGAATCTTTTGGAACAAGTTGAACACAAATGGTCCTTCTCACCTGAATGTCGTTTTTTATGTCTTAGCATTGCTCCTAATTGTGTAAATCTAGCAGAGCACTCTGTACATGCATAGGGTGTTTCGCCAGTGTGAGTCCGCATGTGAACATTAACATCGCTTTTACTGAAGAAACCTTTACCACAACTCTCACATATGAAATTACGTTGCCTATGTTCTGAATGATTTCTATTCATGTGACGCTTTAAGTTACCGCTGTCTTTGTATTTTTTATCACATAAGGAACATGGGTAGGAATATACGTTGGTGTGAGACCTCATGTGTGTATCTAAAGCCGACTGGTTGGTGCACTGTCTGCCACACACGGCACATTTTACCACTCCTCTACTTCGACATTTGGTTCTCCTTTTATAAGATTTACGTTTTTCTACTAATTTGTGTTCTACTTTAGAGTGTTTGAACTTCACAGCAGCTGCGTCTTGACGTAGTTCTTCGAGAGGTACATCATCACTGAGGAGGTTCTCATAGGTATTGTCATCGTCACTTAGGCTTTTCAGTTCTGTTTTTACATCCGATACATAGTCGTCAATTTTTTCTATGACCTGCGAAATTCTAAGAAATGACTGCGAGCGAAGTTGCTTATCGGATTCTTCACATTTTAATACAAAGTGGTAGCAAGCATTCAGTTTATTTTCACATCTTTTACACACATAGGAAGGTAAACCGTCCCCGTCTTCAATATTAATGTTTGAACAGCAATACATGATTTTTTCGCTAAGTGGTTTACCAATGGATTCCTCGAGAAATATAAAGGAAGTACCATCATTTTTACAACACAACCTACATAATTTATTTTCCATAGCGTACATGAGCATTTGAGTATGCAGAGCATCACGTGAATTCTATTTACATTCAATAATCCATAAATAAAATAATATTCAATCTATTTATTTTCCCATAGTTGGTAAACATTGCAAACCAAACATCTGTCTTGTCAAAATTGACAAAACCAAACAAAATTGGTTACTTTTTTAATGGTATGGGCGTGCCTGTTTTCATAGACTTAGTAAACTAACGTAACATACTACCAAGTCTACTCCACTCCACATACATAGCTGTTTCACATTTTAAATGAGAAAGATAAAAAAACTCTTGATGTGTAAAGATAGTTCTAATCATCATATCGATGTTACAACCTTAATTAATTAAAAGCAGCTCTAAACTTTTATTTTGTAGATGTGTAGATAAATTATATTACTTTACGCTAAAACTAAACCAGAGCAGCTTGGAAGTTCTCATACATAGTAACATCACGGTACTATTATAATACAGTAGTGTAACTCGGCCGCATGATAGAAATAAATGCCTACAGCCGCGCGGTACGTAAACATGCGTTAGGGCTGCCCGTCTCCAGCATTTTAATTATATTTGCCTACTTTCTGTTTCTATTTAGATTTGTGATTGTAAATATCCTTTTTATATAAATAAATGAAATACTTTGTATATTGAATAGGAAGTGTTCAATAAAAATGCGTGTTGTTTTTTGATTGGTGGATTTAATTATTTTATTTTCTTTCTGCATTGGAGGAGTTCAAGTTTCAATTTTCTTTTTCTTGGAGTGTTGCTAGAGAGACTCGTTGAGGTTTGAGCAAAGATTTCATTTTCAGTCTGTGTACTATTTTCATTTCTTACCAACGGAGCAGTTTGGGTTTGTTTATCTTCTTTTAGAGACACTCCTGAATCAGTACTAGCTAAGCTTGGCAGCATCAACAATGGTAGGGCATTCTTTTTTAAAAGTTTTCTATTTGATGAATGTAATACATCCTCCAAATTAAAATGTTTTTCACAAACTTGGTAGGAACTAAAGTTAGGTTTGTTTTCCAAATCATCTCGCCGGATGAGTTGCAACCATTGAAGACGTCTAAAAAAAAAATACATGTGACACTCTCGGAGACTGCCGCGGTAAAGCTATTGCATAACATTTTTTTTTTTAAAGAAAAAAATCTGCGTGGTGTCAGGTATTTTTCGTTAGGTTTTGAGAATTTTTTGATTCGGTCACCGCGCAGCGCCGCGCTCAGAGCCCGCGATAAAAGCTATGCAATAGCTTAAAAATCCTTCTATAGAATAATATATAAAAATGTGCTTTCTCTTTACGCGTTACAAAACTCCAATCCTTAGAAACTCCAACACCTACCTCTCACCTACTCAACTAGAGTGCAAGAAACAGCTGACGAGTAAGTAACTTTTTATCTCAGCTTATTAACGTCTCTATAAATTAGGTACCTACCTACAACTCAAAACAAAAATTCTTTGGTCACCAATTAATTAATTATTAAAAAGCTAACCAGCTGACTACGAATGTTTTAAAATCACAACCCTCAAACATCTAAATATTATATATGAGTCTAGCTGTTGTTGTTAATACCGAGAAAATGAAACCAGTTTTTAGTGGTATATGTTGTTATAGTAGCAGCAGAAACACTGTGAAAATTTCGAAACCTATCTAATGACACACAGACGGTAAAAAAAAATTCTAGTATTATTCATACACACAGAAAATAAACAAATATTATTAAAAATAAAATACCACATCTTTACTTTGAATTATGCAAAGTAACAAAACACACATGCACCGAAGTTTTAACACAAGCGTAAGTAGGTAGGTACCTACCGTATTCATTCAGAACCGCATATAACTACCTATTTCACTCGTCTCAATAACTTTCCGTTACTCTATTCGCTTTATTTATTAATCCAAACACCTTTTTTTCGTAAGATAAAAGGAAATACTTATCCATTAAAAAGACACACATTATGTACCTACCTACTAGTAGGTAAAATTATTTTATAGTCTTACCTTTCAGAGTTTCCAGGTAATTTAAAAAAACTTATGTCTGGATGCGTTATTGACGAATTCATACAACCAAAAACAGCACAATATTTCCTACTCGTCATGTTAACAGATTTTTAGAGAAAAAATCGCGCGGTTATTGTTAAAAAAAAACAACACACCGTCCGTTCGACACTGTGGTACAGCCGTGACTGTCTGCGCCCCGAGCGCACCCCGAGATCGAGGCGCGTAGGTATAGCTCGTGTTTCGTCCGTTTGTATGAAGTTGGAGTACTGTATTATAATTGTACCGTGGTAATATATTATATTTTCCAGAAAAATATACGTTGAAGATGTACAAATTCGGCTCTTATTCTACATACTACTACAAGTTACTTTAAACGTACTTTACATAAAGGCATAGAAATCGACAATATTTAAAGGTGATGGAAAACTGCATCACGTGCATGAAATAGTTTTCTTCCTTATTTAGACGGCATTAGATTAGCGCGAAGTGGTATGTGTACCAAAAATACACATATCTAATTTGTCTAAAAGTTTACATTCTGTATAGTCAACTTAAAATGTAGTATAGAATATATCACCTGTTTGTACTAGCACTCACAAACACAATTTTGTCAATTCGGTTGACCAACCACACTCCTGCCACTGCCTTTCAACCAACTTCGATCCTGGGCTAGACAGCGTACTCGTGAAGTGCACAACCGAAGGTGGAGAAACTGACCCGGCTGCAGACAATCTTAACTGGTGCTTATTGAAGTCTCAACACGACACACTTGCAGACTGATCAGTCTGAGTAGACTAGAAATCTGAATAGTTGTAGGAACCATAAGAGGACGGACAGCCCTGTTTGCAGAGAATGCCTGAAAGCAGAAAAATCATCCGTAAGCCTGGAATGTGAGAGAGTGGCCACACAACTGGCAAGTACCATACCTGGTACAAAATTACTCCAAGAAGCCTGTAAACTTTCCAGGAGGCTTTTGCGCTTCTGGAAGGAGCTTGATTGGCTTACTTAGCTAACCTCTATGCGTCTAGGAGAGGTTAGCTAAGTGAGTGTCTCGAGTTTAAATGCGGCTAGCAAAGCTCACAATCTATACCAATTGGCTGACCCGGGTTGCAACTCGAGTGCTTCAATGGTACGTCATGCAATTATGATAATATCTTAGCTGTAAGCAGTTGCATTCGCCGAGTCTCTGGTTTAGCAGTTGTTGTATTCTAATCTGGCAATCAGAAAAGTCTTCTACAAAATTAGTTTTACGTTCTTTGTAATATGACGAATCCGCATAAGTTTTCCTGATATATAAAAGGGTCTTAGAATAGTATAACAAATGGAGAATGGGAGCAATTGGAGAGCCTATATGTCCAGCAGTGGATTACGATAGGCTGATGATGATGATAACAAATAGTCTCTTCTTCCTTCAACCGTTTATGTTATTAATAAATATTCCTAGCCCAAGTTAACATTGTATTGTAGCAAAACTAGTATAGCTATCTAGTTGGCTTTCATATCATTCTGTTGATATTACTTAATACTATTCCAATACTACTACGTAATATTTCATTTCAACTCATACAGCTTGTTTGGGGTTCTTTTATAAAATATAAGATTCAAAAGCAGTATTATATTACTGACAAGTAAATCAACTCCAATCTACTACTGTCCGGGTAATTTAAATCTACCTGCTCGCTAGTCTGTAGTCTGTACCTGTCAAACTTCGTTGCATTATATTCCTATATTATTTATTGTTTTTAAAAAAAAAATCAAATTTAAAAATTGAAATAATGCATGCTATTTTTCTTGTAGCAAGCTTTAATAATTTGATATGTTTATTAACGTAAATCTAGAAAAGTCAATAAACTTGTAAGAAATAAAAAAAATGGAAACGAGAATTTGCCGCATTTGTCTCAACAACACAGCATCGATTTCCATTTTTGAGAAACAGGAGGATGTGCAATATAGTACGAAAATAATGAGATGTGTGAATGTGGTCATTGTGGAAGGTGATGGTTTACCAGATGCGATATGTAAAAGTTGTGCCTCAGAACTGTGCACGACATACGACTTTGTAAATAAGTGCGAAGCTTCGGATAAGGCACTCAGATGCATAAAAATTACAGACCAAAATGATGAGCTATCAAGACCCGATCCCGAAATCAAATTGGAAAATATTAAGCAAGAAATATCTCAAGATGATGATGGTCACTTTGACAGTTTCTTATTAGAAGACCACAAAGACTCGTGTCCCTATGATGTTAAGAAACGTAGAAAAAAATATACGAAAACTAAAAAATTCAAAGAGGGATTAGATAGGCGGAAAAACAAGTCTAAATCAGGGCCTGTTATATGTGTTGTCTGTGGTTATGTAGCCGCCAGCCGCTCTGCCATGGAGAGTCACATGAGAACCCACACTGGAGAGAAGCCCTTCATATGCCACTATTGCAATGCCAGATTCAACCTTAAGGGCTCTCTCAAAAGGCACATACTCACACACCACACAGAAAGGGAAAGGAAATTTATTTGTGAAACTTGCGGTAATAGTTTTTTAACTAAAAATAGTATCGTAACACATATGAGGGTGCACACAGATGAGAGACCCTATGTTTGTCCTTTCTGCCCTAAAGCATTTAGACAAATTGCTTCAATGATCCGTCACAAGCGTATGCACACTGGGGAACGCCCATTTACATGCCTTATCTGTTTCAAAAAGTTCACAGACAAAAGCCACATGGTGAGGCACCAGGTTGTCCACAGTAACGAGAAGAACTTCACTTGTCATTTGTGTAGTAAGTCTGTTAAAACAAGGAATGCACTCAAAAGTCATATGCGGACTCATTCCAATGAAAAACACAACATATGTAGTTACTGCGGGATGACATTTTCTTTGAAAGGTAATCTCCAAGTACATATAAAAAGAATACACTCTGAAAAGTCTGGTGAGTGCACCGAGTGTCAAAAAACATTTTCAGATTTAGCGTCACATATGCGTAAGCATACAGGAGAGAAACCGTTTGTGTGTAAGTTGTGTGACCAAGGCTTTGTAAGTAAGAGGAGTTTGTCTAACCACATGGTGTTTAGACATGAGAATGCATCAAAATTCAAATGTTCTATAGGGGATTGTACAAAAACATTCCCTACAGCTATGATGTTAGAGTTTCATTTGTTAAAGCACCATACAAATCATACTCCTTACATTTGTCATCACTGTTCAAAAGGGTTTTTCCGGACCAGTGACCTCTCTCGCCACCTTAGAGTGAGTCACATGGACACAATCAAAGTGACTGGGAAAGGTCTTGTTGTGTAAATTATACCGTGGAAGGTATCAGGTCCTAATGTGCTGGTACACACTGTTGATCCTTTTTTATACCAGGACACAGAGAATAAATACTTCACATAAATACTTTTTACCATTGAATCTTGTTTCATACATATTATAAGTATAACAATATAAATATATGTTATATTTATTGTATTATTTTTAGTATATATATCTATAGCAATTACTATTGAATTCTGTTTGTTTGTAGGTACTTTCCTACTTTTTGAGATATTTTTTGTTGATCTACATTGATATTTTTCACATATAATTCTTTTTTAGCATTATCTTTTGATTATCTCATGAAAATATTAACAACATGTTTTGATTTCAAGTTATAAATGTTTAAGCAAAAAAAATCTTTAAACATTAAAACTATCAAGAATTAAAAACACTCAAAATCGAAAAAAATACTATTGAAATATTTTATTTTTCTATGCAACATTATAATAGATATTAATGTCCTAAATCTAGGTAACTACTGTTGGTTACCTTAAAATATATTTATGGGAACCAACAGTAGTTACCATAAAATATACATGGATTGTCAGTTTTTATAGAATCCATCATGGATTTACAGTTGTTAAGTGTAATAAAAAATCACTGTTGAAATAATAATATTTCATAAAAAAAAACAGATTTTAATTAGTAAGTAATTTCAATATTGAAATAATATTATTTCATAAAAAAAAAATTTCAGATCAACCAAAGTAATTTCAATATTCACAGGCTACTTATATAACTAAAATAAGATTGTTTTATATTACTTATTGTAACTAGTCATTAAATATAAGAGGTAAATTAATATTTTTTAAACTTTACTTTTCGTTTTATTTAAAGTTTTGTCCAAGTGAAGGCAATTCCTTGAAGCATCACTTGTATTGATTCAAACCACAGATTAGTATAACGTAGATTCAAACTACTATTGCCATATTCACATGATAAATTATTAGAAACAGGATATTTATTACATAAATTTAAAGAACAGCGCACTTTGAAATCTTGAGTATCATATCGAATCGATTTGGTAATGGAAAGCTCCTTTAAATAGAAGACTAAGACAAAGACATTTATTGCAAAGAAAACTGTGAAGGTTTTAAGGGTAGTAAAAAATTGTCCATATCTGTAAACATCCACAATTTCACAGATATGCCGTTCAATCTATTTGCTGCCCAGTAGAATTGCTAGCATTGCAACTACAACTACGAATGCAAAATTAATTTAGGTTCTGAAAATTAGGAATATTTCATTAAAAATTATTTTAGTATTTGTCTGTTCCCACATTCCTACCAATTACGCTTTTTTTAAATCGCAATGAAATTTTTGAGAAAATTATAGGAGGAAAGTGGGCGGGAAACATTTCGAAATTCAAAACAATCAAAAACTAATGTAATTCTGTGTATGGTTAATCTCTTGACGTTCTAAGTCATACGATATGTCATATGACATTAGACATATGACTCAGACTAAAGTTTTTTATATAGTGTAGGGATGAAAAAAGAAACGAGTGACTACCGATGGCAAGTGACTACCGCCACCCTGCAAAATATGAGCCTCAAGTTTGTGTCTCCCCACCAAAATTAGGGGGAGAGTTGAGTTTGGTGTTCTTGTAACACACTCACTCGACGAAAGAGTTGCTCAACACACGTTTTCTGTGACGCCGTGGTATCTATCACTCCCGTCGAGTTGGTCCATTTGTGTCGAAGCATGGATCTTCCGTGGTTATAAATGATTAAACCTGAAACTGAAAGAAACCAAAGAATATTAAAATTTATTAGTTAAAAACAAACAAAAACTGTCTGTGCAAAACTCACCAGAAATCGAACTTGACAGGAGTATCGTTTCCACTGACGCAGAGCTGGACGGAATGGAGAGGAGCAGACGTTGAATTGACCAATCACAGTACTCAAAATCTCCGCTCCGCATCAGTGGAAACAATGTCAGATTCGTGTTTTGGTTTATTCTTGATCCTATTGCTAATATGTATATAGCTGTAGTAACAGCATCTAACTTTTTTTTAAAGAGAACTCCCGTACTAGGACATATCCTGTGTCGCAGGGAACTTAAAGAAAAATTCATGAAATCATGAAATTCTTACTGCACGGATGGCGTAGTGGTTTAAGCGGTCGCCACGCCGCTTACTACTACGCTGTGTTGTGGGTCCGATCCCCACATGGGACGACACTTTGTGTGATCCACAAATTGTTGTTCTGAGTCTGGGTATCCTTTGTGTCCGTTTCATGTATGTTTGTAAAGTCCCCCGCGAGACAGGATTTATTCCTAGTTCGGGAGTTGTCTTTTTAAAAAGATGAAATGGAGACGAAAACACAAAGACAAGTAAGGTCACAGGGAATCGAACCCAGAACACTGAGCGCAGTAAGAAGCGATGACGTGATCGCTTAAACCACTACGCAATGCACGGATGGCGTAGTGGTTTAAGCGTAATATTTGATTAAATGTTTTTTTTGATTAGGTGTCATACCATATAGTAGGATGAAAAATAATATGTACTTAGGTGTTTGACCTAAAAGGGCAGTGTGTCTGTTTAATAGTCATCTGTCTAAGTCTTCGGGGATACGGTCGTGAATATATGTTAGTTGAAAAAAGTTTAACCTCACCGCGAAATATTTATTTTCTAGACGACATTTAAAAATCAACCTTTGATTTTAAGTACAGTGACTGTTCTTAATACGTGTTAAGTAACGTATTGAACTAAGCTGTTCTCACGAATCAAAAGATATTTTAATGAACGTTCCGTATCAGAAATTATGAACAGGTTTTTAATTATTGTGTCTTCCTGTCCGACTGTAGGGGAGCGACGGTCGACAGACCCTCCCAAGCCAATGGCGTGGAAATCCGCGCTCAAAATTTCAAACGCGCGCCTTCGAACTCACTTTCGATAAAGCAGTAGCACTGTCGGTAAAACAGTGTCAGATGTTTCAAGTTATTGTACTTTTCTCTTTCTATTGTACGTCACAGTAACGTCGTCCCACTCCCACGTCAATTAGGCAGCCAGGTGAGTGATACGGAGGCTTCGCTGGCCGTGGTAGACTCGCGTAGAGGACGTTAGCCCGCGACCGCCCGCCGTAACGCACGTATCGTGTCCGCGACTGGAACTACTACCGTGGCAGGTTTCGGCACCGTGATGGTTTAAACTGTGTTAACAGTTTGTGAGTGTTGGACTTTACTATAAATCTAAACGGATTGTTGGATACTAGTGTTTCATAATGGGTGAAGTGAGTACAGTTTTATTTTGTCATTAGTTTTAGGTATACGGAATGCGAGCGTGATCTAGTTTAGACGGTGGCCGAGAGGCTAGTCCAGATCGTAATCGTAGGTTCGTAGGTCGTCGGCATGTGGTACAGCGGTGAGGCTGTAGTGGTGCGGTCTGCACCGCGTGCGGCGCTGCGTGTCGCGGGTCGCCGCTCGCTGCCACTACGCTAATTAACGCTTTCGTACTTGCGAGAATAATGGTGTGTGAGTTCAGCATGTGTGCCGTGTGGACCAGGACCGGTAGAAAGCTCCGGCGAGATGTCGCGAGCTACATCGCCATCGGTAAAAGTATTCGGCGCTGCAAATGTACTGTTACACATTTGATAACGCACCTATTATCATTCATACACTTCGATTTTTACATATTGGCGTCAAACAATCATGCAATAACAAGCGATTGGGCGAGTGGGCATTCTCTTATCTTTAGAAATTAATAGCCTACGTGTAAGTGATTGTGCTAATCAAAAGAAAACACTTGGAAATAAAACGTGTAAATTGTCACGATTGCCGGTACTTCAAAAATATATGTTAAGGTGTGTTAGACATCTTATTATGATTGGCCAAGGATATGATACCCTTAATACAACAAGTACATGGCAACATCGCCAGTGGGGCGGAGTAGACCGACCGGTGAAACTGAATATAGCAATGCGTAGGTCAAAGCGAATATTGTACTGAACACCGGTCGCCATACGGTGTGACCTCTTTCCGATAATAAACATATGGAAGGGCGAATATATTACATACTGAATCTGGAATCGAAAATATCTACACTTCTACTGCAAAATACATACAACATAGCTAGGTACTCAGATAATATGCATAAGTAAGCAGAATGGCAAAGACATACTTACTGTTAATAACATTTAAGTCTTAAGCAGGTCAGAGAAAAATACATTAGTAAATAAAATAGCGGGAGATTCCCACGTGCAAAGCTAAACAAACGATGTTTAAAAGTAGTTCAAAAGGAAGTGAGAGTTTATGTGATTATAATTCGGTAATGTTAATTTTACAGTCAGAAAAGGTTTTTGACATTTAAATCTCTTAATCCGATGTTACGAGTGGAATAAGTTACATAGATGTTGTACTCGTATTACGAATACAGTAATAGTGTAAACATCTCAATAATCGTTTATTGAGTAAACGCGGTTATAAAATAAAACAAAGGCATCAGAGACAAAAACTTAATCTCAATTTTGTTACTTTTTTTATAAACACAGTTGTTATGCATTATCTGTGCATCAGATAAAAATGTTACGACGCTAATTTAAAACGCTATTGACGCTATTTATTTGTCTCAATTCATGAATTCTTTTCTATAACCATATATATTTACATAAAAATGGTCAAAATCAGTAATTGTAGTATTAAAGTACTATGAGTGGACTAAAGATCGTACCTACATTTAAATAAGTATTAAAATACTTATTAAGTAATTCTTTTAAGTTTAAATGGCCGCTTTTTATTTGATTTCTATTACACTGACTAAAGTATTGGCATAAAGTACAGTAATAAGTTGAATGTAAGTAGTAAGTTGTAATTAAGTTAATTTGCTCAAATGACAATAAGTACAATCTGACTAAAGTACAAACGGTTTGTATAAATGTCACGTAACTGCCCACATATTTTTAAAACATTATCGAGTGATAAATGTTTAGTTCTGGAAATTAATTAATCTATTGATGATATCAAACGATTATTTTTATAAGATAGTCAGTACTATGAATGTCATTTTCATGTATTTATAATAACTTTTGTCGTAATAATCACATACTTAGATTGAGAATTAAGACAAGTGATTAGGTAAATATAGATTACAAGTTATTAAAATGCAATTAGTTTAGTTTCATTTCTAAAAGAAGACCATTTTGCAACGATGAAGGGAATTAGAGTTATAATTCAACGTTTTGTCGGAGAACAAGACCAAAAGGTCGCCACACGATATTGATTTTCGCAGATAAGTAGATATAGATAGTGTATCATTGTAATAAATTTGTATTTGTCAAACACCCTTATCTCTTTGGCTGTTTGAATTCAGATTTATTTTTGAGAGAAATTTTAGTATGCTTAATTACTGAATTGTGTTAAAAGTGTGCGACTCACTAGCTTGGTAAGTTTACGAGTTCAGTATCCAGACTTAGAAACTTTCTTTACTTTTTGGTTGTTATATTTTCGTCATTTGTCATCTACATTTCTAGGCGCATCCTACTTTATGCCTATTTGCAAAACCTTTCATATTAATTTTTGATACTTATGATTACATATCGTACATTCTATTTTAGGTTGAAAAAATACAGTTTTTATTGCGCCAAGCAGATAATTTATCTAAAGGTGGCGCCTGACTAACAAGTGTAGCCCGCGAACTTTAAATTATTTACTAGGTGTTAGTTTCTTTAAGGATCTTTAAGGAGAATTTTGACTGCACGGATGGCGGAGTGGTTTAAGCGGTCGCCACGCCGCTTCCTACTACGCCGAGTGTTGTGGGTTCAAACCCCACATGGGACGTCACTTTGTGTGATCCACAAATTGTTGTTCTGAGTCTGGGTGTTCTTTGTGTCCGTTTCATGTATGTTTGTAAAGTCCCCCGCGACACAGGATATATATTCCTAATGCGGGAGTTGTCTTTTAAAAAAAAAAAAAACAATTCTTTGAATATTACGTCGTCTCAATTTTAGCTCAGTATAACTAAGAACGAGAACGAGAGATTCTGCGTGGGTTTTTAATCTTCTTGATTCTTACCTTTTGATTCAATCAAATTCAGATATTCCAAACTTTTGTATTGTCCAGTAAAAATAAGTTTTCCGATATATTTTTCATGGGAACCTTAAAGCAAGTTATGTTTAGGTATGTTACTGTACAAGATAAAAATCCAAAAATTATCACGGCTTGTTGATAACTTTTTCGATTATAAATGGCGAGTATTATCGAGCGGAATTCGTAATTATCATTAACAGTCCACCCGCCAGCTTGAAGGTGCCAAGCTTCTATATTATCTTTAAACTATCATTATTATGTTTGTGTTTTACAAGTTTAAAATTGGCCAAGTACGAAAAAAGAGAAAGAAAAGCTCTAATTAGACTTAGGATTGTTGAAAAGAAACAAAATTGTAAATTAGATTCACGGAATATTAAATATACAATATTTATTTATCTGTTTACATAATGGTATTGATAAAAAGTAAAACAGGTTTGTTATCAATAGCTCGTATCTCTAAGGTCGATATGAAACGACGTATGGCAGCGATTGCCAATGCGACCGAGACACACTTAGCCGCCTTGCCTACTCGTACTACTGCGAAAAACCTGTCTTGACTATTAAACTAAATACAACACAATTACTGGGCTTCTTTGTAAGTCTGCAACTGTTCCACTAGTCAAAGCTCTGTTTTCACAATTTTATAATATTTTATTTTTGTTTCAGTCGTTGCTGAAAGAGGATCCCCTCTCTCGGATCCCAGCGAGAGATTATCGAAGTGACTGAGAGAGAACGCGAGTTCAAAGAAGGGCATTTCCGTGTCAACAGACTCCTATCCGAGTCCACAATAGAGATGAATCACCAAAATGGTGATGTCAACGGTGACGACGATCTAAAACCGCAGAAGACCCTTAACAGAGCGGTGTCTACATCGCACCTGCTCGGCCCCAGTATCACCTGCGCCACCGGTAACGCCGTCCCTCCTGAACTCAAATGGCTACACGCGCCGCTTCACACCTCAGAATGGAACCAAAGGCATCATGCAGCGATTTATCGCAAACAAGGGCAAATTACCCGTTACTCCTGGAGGAGGACCTGTGGCCCAGACGCCGACAGCACCACTCGCGATAAATGCCCCTTTTATTTTCCCCACATCACCAGTAATTACACCGGTAGTCTCACCGCCTGTTATTACCCGTACTCCTGAGGGTAAACCTGTCAGAAAAGGATACGTTCCCGTCGAGGAGAAAATACAGAAGGAGTTACAGGAGATGAAGGATAGAGAACATGAGCTTAAGAAAATGAGGAAGAAACAGAAACCGTTCGACTTAGAACTCAGTGAAAATGAGACAACTTCCGAATCCGAGGACGAAGAAATCCCTATGCCCGACAAGTTAAAACCAACCAAGTCCATAGGAGAGCTTTACGAAGCTCTTAATGAGGAACTGCGGTCGCCCTCGCCAAGGAATAGCTCGGGACAGGAGTCGATCGGTAGTCTTAAGCCTGCCAAATCGTTAGCAGAGCTGTGTGTGCTAGCGCCTGGTGAAGAGTTCCTCGCTCCGAGTTCCACGCGGCTGATCGCAAAGTGGGAGTCACTTATACAGCAGAAACAAGAAGCTGGCGCTGCATAGGACTCTAATGAATGTTCGGAAAGGCTAACTGGTCAAATATGTGTACCTATGAAATCGGTTAAAAAGGCGTTTAACGCCAAGCTATAAAGCGTGGCTTTTGGAAGTGCATAGTGAACTTGTAAGGCCGAAAGTGTCAACAATACACGGTCTATGTTGTACGCAATAGGAGTGAGTGCAGGTCAGTTTCAACCGAAGTGGATATCGTAAATGTTTACAATGTCGGAAAGGAATCACGTTTATTAGTCGATTTCTTTCGTCAGCCAATCGATTGTGGTGCTATTAATTTTCCCCAGATTGCAAACAATGCAAACGATGGTTATCCGTAACAGCAATTATGTATGCGCTCGCGTCGTTGGAAAGCGCCCGACACACGAGACTCGTCTCTGAAGTGTGAGTAAAATGATTTCTTCCTATTGTTCGGGCTGAAAAACTTGGAGTTTTTCGGTGCTCCGCTTTCCCGGTGCTGAGAGCTTGGCATCGTGCGGTGCCGTGTGTGGTATTGCTGAACCGCCCACATATGCTCTTTGTGTAATTATGGGAAAATGTATCAAGTGTAAGAAACTGAATAGCACCTTGAAATTGGCTCCCAGTATTGTCGAGATATCGCACGCGTGTAGTTTTTTGTCTCATTACATGCTTCCGGTTTAGTTGGTAGGCACTGACGCCTTATATGCATTTTTTATTGTTAGCAACCTATTTCAAGATCGAAACGAAATAATAACCTCTTATCTGTTGTACTTTCGTTTATTGCATTCACTACGCCTCGCGGTTGCATGATTAATTCATCGTTTAGACGATTATAGCATTCTTTCACATAATAATCTCGGTGTGACGTGTGTTCATAGCAAATCACCCACGATATAATTTATACACCGCCGTTTAGAAAGAACTTAGTCGAAGTTAGACTTCGTAAGCAATCGCTAAAAAGTAGAACCGTTTTATTTCAGTAAAGCCAACTACTACACTATGTTTGAGTCATATTTGACCTATATTTATTTTAAAAAGTCTGATGAAATATTTTCAACTGCCCTTCGAAAATAGAATTGCTATCAGCGAGTATAGCGAAGCCTTATATTTCGAATTTATTATATGAACTGAGTGTCTTACGAAATGACAAAACTATAAATATGCAAAATTGTGGCTCGTGGCCCAGTTCAATTGAACTTGTAGCTATTATAGTTTTGTTCAAACTACCTTAAATATATTATTATTAGTGAATACTAGAAGTGTCAAACAGCCTGTGCCTTAAATTTACATTAGAATTTAGCACAAGTCTTAGCTAGAAGAGTGCATAGTATTTTAAAATGACAAAGCTATTTTTAAAGAACTTACAAAGCTGTCCGTATGTCTGGATTAAAAACTATTTAAACAGTTCAGTTACTTTCCTCTGAAATTCGGTTGAAATATATTTAGGAATATTTATTTTGTCCATTTTTATACCTTTCCACCATAAACCAACATTGCATACTGGCATCTTCGTAAGTATTGCTATCATATCTGTACCTATCACTAGTAGGTATATATTAGCACTAGCAACACTACGTCACTAGTACTAAATGTATAAATTATTAGGTACTTATCGAAAAATTTCCTTTAGCATAATAATAAAATTAGTCAATTTAATTTAATGGCTTAGAGAATAGATCAAAATAATAATTTACTGAGATTGATAGCGATAATTGTTGCAATATTTTTAAGTAGTCTTATAAGTTTGTTTCTATTTAAAATCTGTGCCAGAGAAAATTAAAACCATAGATTTATTATATTTAGAACTTGAAATATCTTTTTAAAAAGTTGTAACTTTTTTGCAAGGAAAGCTGAAACAAAAAGTAAAAAGAAACCGAGTCGAGTTATCGAGTTTGTCTTTAATTTTTTATTTAATTTCTTGTCTGGATAATAATAAATCTATGAAATATAAAGTATTTATTATAGAAAGAACCCTTGAAAGATACAAATTACTATTTATATACCAACATATAGCATTTTAAAGCGTGTTCTTAACGATTGTGATATAAAATTGCCTTAAAATGTAAAATAACATTATATAAAACAAAATCATTTTATATTTGTAACTGTCTAGCTACTGGCAAACTTTACAAGAGATACCTACACTGTCCGTATTAGATGTCAATATTAATTTATGTTTATTTAAGAATTTTTCGAAATAAATATTGTATAAAGCTAATTTTCTGTTTTATTAATGGATATTTTTTCACAGACGTAATGTCGCATTGCGTAATCTGTAAGATGTTTTCCCCTTCTTCGAGGACGGTGACATTTTAAAAGGTCGGATGTTCGAAAAAATGAAACGTCCGCCATTTTCCGTACATGTTATGTATGAATGTCGAATTTAATGCGGTAGTAGATTGCAAGTCATAACCATTTCTGTTTGTCAAAGGTCATACAATCAGAAAATCAAGGGTCTATGTATGTACTGGAAATTAATACCTTAAAATTATATAATTTATGGTGTAATTTGCCACCAGCTGATTCTTAGCGTATAATTAATAGCATACAAAATTGCAAATATTTGATTGTCCTTTGGGCTAGTGATCCTGATAGCTAAGCCTGGGTTCGATTCCCATCCAGGATGAATAAATAATTTATCTTTAAATATATATATATATATATATAGGTACACTATAAAATACTTTTTATTACTGTGTTACAGGCTCTGCTTAGTTTGAGCTCAAGCGTCCACGTGTGAGATATGTCAAATATAAATAGGTACTAATTATATTTGGTCAGTATGGTAGGTACTGCTATGCCATATCAGTTTTAAAACCGCTTATGCAATGAAATAGATCAAAAATGTATTTTCTTATGGCAAAAGATACTTCAAACTGAATGTACGGATGTCCTGGTGGTTTAAGCGGTCACCACACCGCTTTCCCGCAACACGGGATATATTCCTAGTGCGGGAGTTGTCTTTTAAAAAAGAAAAGACAAGAGTCCGAGTTACAACGTTTCGGTGAGAATAAATTAGAATAATAGATGATGGCTCATCTACGGATACATGTCATACTACAAATAGCGTTCATCATCAGCCTTGAGTAGACCACTGCTGGACTAGGGCCTCTCCTTAGAAATTAGGTTTTGGCCTACTATACCAGGCTGACCAGACGGGTTGGTCAGATAGGGTTTGTGTCACGTTTTCCTTCTCTTTGCAGTGCTGTTGTCCTGCTTAGTTTACTCCCTTAGCCGGCTCTTACGACACCCACGGTAAAAATAGGGGTGGTCACACTCCGTATTCTTAATCTGTCACCACACGGATAACGTGCGTACATATAGATAGATAGAAAACTCTTTATTTGTACACCATTTTACAAGTAGTATCTCTTCCAGGCCACCTTAGGATGGATCAAAATGTTTTGGAGAGAGTATTACTTGAAGGTGCAATAAGTTTTGACAGGTTAATTATTAATGAACATTAAAGAGGTCAAATTAAATAAATATTTACACATAAAACACATATACAACATTATTTTTAGAGGTTATAATTGATCAAATAAGACCTCCGAAAAACCATATGCTAGTGAAAGTGATTGTAGACATCTTTGCTTAATAATAAAGGAAATGAAAAGACTGAAATTTGAACCAACTATAAAGAAAAAACCTCATCACTACTTACGACTTTGGGAAGTTCTTTATTCGAATTCATTCTCTGTCTCATAAACAACATTTTATTCTTATAATTACTTATTCTATTTCATCATCATAATGGAAAAAACCTAATACTATGAACTAATGTAAAATCCATAGCAACAATTGCATTGTTACCGGAGTGTGGAGTGATAGTGTTTACGTACACCAACGTGGTCGGGTCGTGATCTGGGTGTTGTCGTTGTGCTTACTCTAAGACTGTTAACCATGACTGGCTTGGGCAGAATAACAGCGGATGGCGTGCATTGCACTGTCATCCACACGCTGAGCTAAAGACCATTTTGTCTTTCAAGTATTATTTTTATTAAAGCATTGTTATTAATTTTAAGTACTCGATGTAAAAAGACAAATAAAGTTTTTCTTATTCTCATTCTTATTCTTAACTTTTAATTATAATCAATATCATTTCGTAGGCGCTATCGGACTTTTTAGGGTTCCAAATAGCCGTAACGGTTGCCACAGATGTTCATATGGCAACCGGGACCGACGGTTTAACGTGCTCTCCTAGGCACGGAGGGGTCTTAATGTGTTAAGAATGCTCACCCATCTATGACTGACATGGCTAGAATTGCTTAACTTTGCAATGTTTAAACCTACTCCGTATTCACTTAGCCGCGAGCCCCTCTGGTTTATAAAAAACCGATGAATATTTTCTTTTGTATAAATGTGATATGTGTGATTTCATGTTAGCCTATACATATATAAATGTATACATGTACACCTATATCTCTTAGCGCTTTATTAAAGCTCACGTTTTGACAAGTATAAATGGGACGAACCATTTACCTAATAGGGGATTAGCCTTTTGCTATGAACCTGATACTTTAAGAATTAGATGGGAAAAGGTGGGAGTTCAATATACAAGTAACTGGGCACGAGTTTAAGACCCGATTAAACGGGTATTTTAGATGGGAAGATATGACGTTCTTATATAAAAAAGGAAGGTTAGATAAAGAAAGATGGACAAAGGTAGGATAGAGAAATTGGTCGTATAGATCGGATGGACTGTGGATGGCTTACTTCTATAAATTTACGTTTGGAAGACAGAACAAGAAAGAAGAAGAGACAGAGATAAATAAATTACAAGGTGGTAATATGTTTGAGTTAGACATGGGAATACAGCAAGGAGGTTGATCGACTAAGATCAGTCGATCAATCTCCTTGCTGTTTCCCGTGTCTTCTAAACAGGAATAAGATTCAATAAGGAGATTATTCTTGTAGTGAACACTGATTCAATGTATTTTTCTTAAAGGGATGAAAGTTATAAGTATTTTATTTAAATTCATTCAATTTCGAGAACTTTCTTTAAATCGACCGAGATCCTTTCATACCTACAC